TAGCGTTATCCCCCTGGAAAAATATTTGTACCCACCCTATACAAGAGTTATCATTTTATGATTCGTAGCCATTTGCTCTACATTGCATCAAGAACAATAGATAACATCAATAGTCATTGAATAAAATCAACTTGTCTATACCGAAAATTGAGAGAACATATCTTTCACTCAAATTGGTAATAAAATATTGATAAGACCGATAGCTGCCACTACAGTACATCGATTTCAAATAAATTACAATGCTCCGACAACATGGAGCACAGATCAAATGATTGATGGAAAAATGGGACATGTAAGTTTATTGCAGAGAACGTTAAACGAGAAAATGAAATTGAGAAGTATTCAAAAGCAAGCATATCTGGCAAGATGAAATTCGTTTATTGTAACTATGTCTTTTTCCTTCTACCCTGAACAGTGAGGCAAGCAAGATGCTATATTAGCCTTAGAGGGTGTGGGTGTACTACTTTTTTGTACTAACACCCACATCCACACCCTAAACGTATTTTTTAGAATTCCTATCTGCCTTGGTTGGTGTACTTTTGCTGAATTCTACTTGCACTATTCGTTTCATAACTATATGCGATTCGAATTTGGTTATTTATAAATCTATTTTTATTCTAACGTTTATTGACACACACATTTATGTGAAAATATGCAGAACACAATTTAAAAAAATACAAATATTTTTAAAAAATCAACTCGATCTCTTGAATTATAGAAGAGATATTTACGTTAACTTTCTCGATGGACTTTTAAAATACCCTGTATTTGCTATCGGATCCAACAAATTTAATTAGTCGAGCCCGGATCCAGAAATTCTTTGATCCGATGGGCTCTAGGGATGAATAGGGATCAGATTAGATAGAGACTAGATGAATGTTAAGGAGTTTGCTAGAGAGAGGTAGGGTGAGTTAGTTCCTTGGAGATTTCGATTGAATTGAAGACCCTTCAGGTAATTGCTAAGAGCTCGACCAGGAACTATCTTAATGCCCGTAGCACACGACCAGATCTGCACCAGACTCCTTGACACATCTGATATAGATGATTTGAGTTTGTCTTGTGCATGTATGAGCTTCACGCTCGCTTCGACTCCACCAGAGTAGTTCCTGATCGTGCACGTGTGAATAGAATTGCAATGAAATTGATTCATAGTAATTTATTTGAAGGAAAAAAAGAAAAAATAATTCATTTTAATGACTCTATTCGGTAGAAAATCGTTGAACTCGATGGTTAAAAAATTCGACGACAAGGAGATTGTCTTTGGTTAAACTTCATAAAAAAACATCCTTTTCGTAAAAAGTTTTTCCTGGATGAAAAAAATCAAACTCAAAATTTTGAGAAAACGATTACGAATTTGGATTTCCCAACTCCGATTACTTTCACTCAAACTTTATAGAACATCTTTATATGTAGAGAGAGAGATACGTGACTGCAAACAAACAAGCAAACTCATTTTTATCTCATATGACCTCCCGTCCAGTCGAGGGAATTATATCAATGCTATTCTCATTTGAATCAATTATGAATCCTCACATCAACAACATTCTTTTCAGTTCAAGTATGAATAATAGAGCTCGTTAACAACATTATTATTGAGTTTGTCAGACATGTCAAAAGCGTAAAGGATCTCCATGATCGATCTAACGACGACTCTATGATACAGGAAAACCTTCCAATTAGTGAGCATCATTTGGACCGTTTAAAAGTATTCAATATTGGAGCGGCGGTGATGTATAACTTTCTGTGAAATGAAGAAGAGGTTCCTGAATATCTACTTCTACATTAGTCCTAAGTAAAGACTTGTTTCTTTATTTTCCTGTTCATCTTCTTTCATCTAAATGATTTGAATCAAAAGACTTTTCAATGACAACACAAAATTTAATTGTTCAAATTTTGCTTTTAAATTGATTCTTTTGCACGGTACTTCACAAACCATTCGTACACTTGATCAGCTATTTTGTTTTCCATTGAAATTTTTAATTTTCATTTAATACTTTAATTCTGATTTGTTTCAGAATCATTTAAATATTCTGTTTTACGTTTTAAAATATTTCATACAGAACTGAGTAGTATATTATATTCTTCATTCAATTTGCGTTGTGATAACTCATGATCATTATTACTATCATAAATTAATTGCAGTTTTTCTTGCAAAATAAGCTTATGTCACGATGTCACTCATTACTTCACACGTACAGTAGGTGAATCGAACATAAAATGCTCTTAATCATCGTGCATAAGAAACAAATGACAAAGAATATAAAGCGATTAAAAAAGCCTGTTCAGATTAAAGAGGTTATATTAGTGAAAAGGGCAGCAGAACAATGTTCACTATTCAGAAGAGGGAGGTGTTCACTTGTAGAAGTTTTCCTGTAATCAATTTTCTCAATTTCTTTTTGTAATGTGGCAATGTCTTCAACGTATGCAAGTCAAACAAGTTGATTTTTAGAGTGTAGATACTAGGCATCATAGCGGTCCTTTTAGCATCTTCTATTTCTGAAAATACCTATTTGCTGTAGAGTTATGAACAAAACACAATCGTATGAATAATTTTTGCCATCATTGTAAGTAAAAATGAGCATACTATCATCAAAACAAAGCGCATGAGTAGCTCTTCGTTTATTTTATCAAAAATAATTAGGGCAACTTCTTTCTTTAAAAGTTCGTCATTTCTTTTGCGTGATTGTGTTCTTCAGTAATTATCAATTAAATCCAATTTTTCTGTCATTTTGTGTGACGTTCATATAACTTACCTTCGATAATTCTAAAAAAATAGAATAGAGACTCGTCATTTCTTTATTTACCTCTTTTCATGCGGATGCTCTTTCAATAATATAAAATAACAATTGTCGTGGACTTGTGTAAAAGTTCAAAACAAAGATGGTGGCATGGATTATTTCATTTCTCGGCTTCTTATCGAAACAATTGGCTATATATTTGGGAATTTTGATGTTCATCGCCGGTGTAATTGGTGGACTTCTGACGATCATTGTATTTCTCAGCCTGCGCACTTTTCGCGAAAGTTCAAGTGCATTCTATTTGATTATCATGTCAATTTTCAATATTGGAAATTTATTCGTCGGTCTACTTTCTCGCATACTGATTACTGGCTTTGGCATCGACTGGACACTGAGTTCGCCATTCTATTGTGCTTTCAGATGGTATTCTCTCTATTGTGGTGTCTTGATCTCTTTCACAATGATTTCTTTGGCGACCATTGATCAATATTTTGCTACTTGTTCTCGTCCCAATTGGCGACAATGGAGTAACATCAAACTTGCCCATCGTCTGTCAGTAGCAGCAATCATTCTTTGGGTTCTTCTTGGGTTTCCTTACATGATTTATTTTAATATAGTTGAACAACCTACACCCTATAAAATAATCTGTACAAGTACTAATACTGGTTTTCTTCAATATCATATTTATGTTTATATAATATCTCTTGCTGGTGCTATACCAGTAACTATCACCATCCTCTTCGGAAGTTTGGCATATCATAATGTCCAACAATTGGCTCATCGAACTTTGCCACTGATTCGACGTGAATTGGACAAGCAATTGACCAAAATGGTTCTTACCCAAGTTGTTCACAATTTCTTTGCAACGATACCGTATACGATTGTTACTGCTATCATTTACAGCCCCATTTTCCCGAATGATCCCATTATTATCGCACAACTTCAATTTGCCAATATTATAACTATCTATTTGTATTATCTAAATTATGTGGTGAGTATTGTTCACTGATCAGACGGTCTGAAAATGATTTTCTCTCATATATTTTTAGAGCCCATTCTATATTTATCTCAGTGCATCCGAACGATTTCGTCAGCAACTAATTTATGTTCTATTCGAAATTCATCTTAAACGATGGCGACGACGAAAAGTAAATGTTAATCAACTGGATTCACAATTTTAATAGATGTCAACGAATGATTTTTATTTGAAATGCCAGACATTTTCATATTGACTATTGAAATATCGTTTTTAAAGAGAAATTATTTTGAACTGTAAATGATCGTATTAACTAAAATCTTTTGCCTATCCAACTAGGCTTTGTACTAGAGAAAGTTCTTCGTTCCTTAACTTTATTTCATATTTCATCCTATCGAATTAAAATGGTCTTTGTGCCAACTAAGATAAAAAAAAAAAACCATGGCTTCCTTTCAAAATGATAGCCAAAATACTATATACGGAAAGAATTTTCAAAAGAAAACAGTACGACAGCAAGGAAGCATCCAGTCGATATCATCATACTAGTTGAAAAAGAAAATCTTCAAGTTTTTTTTCTTTTTTCTGTTCAATATCTTGTTATCTTTGTTGAGTAGAAAATTTTAAAATTGAAAAGTAGAATCTTCATCAATATTTATTCAACATTTCGAAAAGAACTTGGTCAAAGTCTGAGATTTCAGAAATCTGAACAGTATACTTGATTGAATATTCTCGACTATACTCTCATCCCACATTGTTGATCAAACTTTGCTAAATTTATAAATTCTACGAAAAAGTTGAAATGTCTGGTATTTCCTATGAACAAACAAAGGTTTAGATGTATTAATTGAAATAAATTCAATGATCTGTTCCTCAAATATAGAAGTGCACTTTTCAAAAATAATTTTGATTGGTTTTTCATGAAAGTTCGTCTAATTTTCCAGTTCTGTTAACCATAAAACGCTGAAAAGTAAGATTTTGAAGCTTTCGACATGGTTGATTCGAGTTTAGTATAGAAAATCGCACTCGTGTTTTTTTATAATACCGTTTATTTGAGGATAATCAACCCATGAGACTTTGAACGTTTGCAAGTATTCTTCTGTTGTTATCAAAGTGAAATGAAATTAGAAGAAACTTTTGGTTTCTCTTAATTATTTGTTGTAAGATCATCGAAAAATGCTCGATAGAAATTGACAATGAAAATGAATGAAATTTATCCATTGTGATAAAATAATAAAAAAAAACTAATAGAAAAGACAAATAACATTCGATTGATTCATAAATAATTTTTAATCTTCTTCTTCTTCCGCATTGCTTCTTGATGATGCTTGACAATTATCATTGATTCCGAAAAGATCTTTTGCATGAGTTATTGCATATTGTTTATAATCATTGATTTTATCTAAATAAAGATTCATCAATAATCCCATATATTTCTTGATGGATGGTGTGTTGTTAATTAGGATGGCATAATCTTTTCTCGACAGGGATTTGTTCGTTTCATAAAACTCTTCAATTGATTTAACCATATGATTGAATTGCGATCTTACTTGTTCTTCCATTTTGGAAATACTTTCCAAAGCTCCTGGATTATCTTGAAATAATGATCTCAAGTCATCCGATTGTTCATTGATTATACTTTCAAATAAATGTCGTGGCGAATTGACTTTGTCTTTACAATGATGTAATTGCAAGTATTTGTGAGTTTTGATTTTGACCAAATAAGACGATTGATCTGTACGAATAATTTCAACGACATAACCTTCGCCTTGAGTCTCTCCATAAATGTTTTGACAAAACTCTTTATGAGAGAGATGACGTGGAATCGATTTAAATGGAACTATATGTTCAAGAATTGATTGAAAATTATGTTCTACGAGGAACGATTGTAGATGCCGAGCGAAGAGAGTTTCGCCAGTCAAATGAGATCGAATTGAGAGTACAGTTAATTCGGCTTGAGGATAGTGAAGAACAATACGATTTGACGGTGATGTATACTCCATATTGATTGTATAATGAAGATTAACTAGATTTTCGACTTCACTTTTGAATTTACCTAAAATAGATTATTTTTAAACTACAACAATGCAGATTACATTCCAATCAAACATTCATCCTCAACTAGTAGTATCAATTTTATACGTCAAGATCACATAGGGTAATACCTTAGAAAGTAATGTTTAACAGTGTTTAAATAGTCAAATCTTATTGCTTCGTCAATGTTCCTTTTCACGAGACGTAATATACTCTTTTACCCTAAGACCAATTTACCCATAGAAAAATTTGATATATAACTATCCTATGAAACTCAAGCTCAGCAATATATTTCAAAATGGTGTTGATTTCGTCTCAAAACAAATGCAAGTACCTTTAAATAATTCCATTGCTTCGCATGCCTGTGACGAGGTTAATGATGTTTTTGATTTCAATCGAACAATTGCTTGATTCTTATCGTCAAAATGGATAAATGTTGAAATTAATGATCCATCGAGTTTGTCCATTTGATCTCCTAATTGTCCTTGTTTATGTTGGTCAAAGCCGATTCCTTCTTCATAATTGAAGAATTTCTCTGGTGGCAATGAAACCAATTGAAGATTGTTCGGATCATTGATATTGAACATTGTTCCACGACAATTCAATGCGTAAGGTAATGAATGAAATGTAGTGTATGAACAAAGACGATAGTTAAATATACGATATGTCGTTGAATCAAGTACAACATCTTTGTAATAAAAACCATCGTTAGATGAACATATTGATAAGAGACTATCATAAAGATAAGGCATTAACTGCATCATGGTTGGGGAACGTAGACGAATATTACTGATACATTAGTATATTGACTTACGTTAAAATGACGAGAATTTATATAATGAAAAAAAGGCGATTACAAAAGTCGTCATCACAAAAAATTTTAAGAAGCACATTTGTATGATGAAATACTCGTTTCTGCAGTCATTATTGACTCATATTTTTTCTTTCGCGTTATTTCCTCCTTATCGTAAGGGACGGCAAAAACTCCTGCATTATTTTTGTTGTTTTGCATGTCAATACAGAAGCCTTATAAAATGTTTATTTATGCGAAACAATACCCATAAAATCCTTTACAAAATTTTTTGAAAGTATTACAATCGAACATGATGGATTTATGCTGTGCATTAGTTACTTTTCTCGATGAAAACATGAATACAACATAAACAACTGCGTAAGTAGTCAACTCCTCCAAAAAAATATCAAAGTTTTTGAAAAAAGTTTATTTATATGGATTGATACCTTCTGGGTAATATTATCAAATAATATACAAACGATTGTTTTCGTATTCGCTGTCTTTTTCAAAGAAAAATATCTAACTGAATTGAACTCAACATTTCCGAATCTATAGAGAATTTTTCAATTTTAGACTATTTTAATATGTATTACAACGCAAAAATCAACTGAAAGTCTGTCGTACAGTTTTTGTTGGAGGAACAACGATGGTACGATATCTCAATAACCCAATGATAGGATCAATGTACTGAGATGTTATTGAAATTGAATTAAAAAAGTCCACCGGAAAATTTTCAAGGAAAATTTGATGAAATGCTTTTTCATGTGGAAGAAATTACCATGTCTCATGAGAACAGCATTGATCGATCTTTAGATGTATTGAGAGAAACTTCACACTGAACTTGAGCTGAATTGTATCATATTGAATGAGCGTTACTGATTTATTAAAAGTCAATTTCTATTTCAAGTAAAGTTTTCAGAAAATGTTGTTTCTATATTGTCGAGATCGTTCAAATTTGATATTTTCATTAAACAACTGTTAACATTGTTTTTGTTTTAATCGAAATAAACAGTGTGCATCAGCTACTAGAAATAATGGCATATCAATAATTATTGTTTCAAGATCTCTCGGTAAATTTTATTTGATTCATCATAAAAACATATCTATTGTTGTCTTTTCATATTTTCTTGACACACTTGATGATCCAAGTGGTCACAGTTAATTCAAAGTCTGGTGTTGTAACGATCGAAACTATTGTTTATCCGATGGTATCTTAAATATATCGTCTGAAGATTCGTTTAACAATTGATTGTCAACTACTCTGAGTATATCAGCGTACTTTAAAATTGATCAGTCTCTTGTTCAGACCTTTCTCAATTAATAAAGTCATCATCTTTTTCATTGACTATAGATGGAATTTTCGTCTAAATGTATACATGATTTAAAATAACGAATGTGTTCATAGGTTACACAAAGAGTAGAGATTTGACAGAACTCGACATTGTCAGCTCGTCTGTCTCATTTTGCTTGTATCGATAACAACATCAGACTATTAATAGACAACTAGAGAGTAAGAGAAACAGATAGTTGATCAATTTAATATGTCTATCTCATCGAAAGATGTATCGATACATCTTGTCAGAATTTACTCGTCTTTACAATGATAATTTGACTCAAACGCAATCTGCTATATTAATTTCATCCATTTATATATTCACCGTTCTTTTTCTCAACCACTATGGGTGTCGAAGCCTTAAGATATAAAAACATATTGAGTGAGAAATCAATCAAACGTGTGAAATCCACAGATGTATAGATGAATATAACGATCATGCTATACACATCCAGAACGAAATTGCAATAATGTTTTGACTTACTAGGGAACCTTCCGAGGTGTGGGAGCGCTTTTCAATCGAGGTTTCGTGCATCTTGTAGCCCGTAGTGGGTTATGCTTACGGTAAAAAAGGTTCGGGTTTCTGGCTTGTTTCTGAGGAGATATCGAGCTCTTAGTGAATTTTCTCTATTGTATGCCTACAGTGGCAGCAAAGCTATTCTTTCGAATTTTGAC